GGGCAATATGCTGACTCTCTGTAAACCGCTTAGAGAGGGCTGAAAGCCCTATGAAGCGGTATATAAGTCCACTGCTATTGCTATTGCTATTAAATTGCACAGGTAAAAACTGTCCGCATCCCAGACAGCAGTAGGGGATGAAGCCTTCCTCCCCCAAGGCCTGGATCTCTCCAGAACATAGCAACCTTTTCCTTAGAAAGGGCAGCCCGAACCATCCTTTGAGCTGAGATGCCACCTCCTCCTCCTGTCCTCTGCCAGTGGGGAGGGAAATGTCCTCAGGTGCCCCGGTGCTGCTGCCTCTTCCTCTGTGCTGCTGCTCGGCCTCCCTGCCCTGACCACAAATTCAGAGCGTTTCTTTCTCTCCTCAGAGTGTCTGCAACACCCTCTGGTGCTCCGTGGGGAACACCTGCCACTCCAAGCTGGACGCAGCTGTTGACGGCACCAAGTGTGATGAGAACAAGGTATTTCCTGGGGCCTGGCACGGTGCCCGTCTGTGGGCAAAGAACCTGAAGCTGCTCCCCAAATGCCCCTTTGGCTAAAGTGTGCCATGTCGGTCTTCTTCCAGGGGGCATCAGGGAGGCATTTGCAGTCCAGCGCAAACCCTGGAGCCAAAGAGAACTTTGCTCAGAAGCTTCTCTTAAAAGCTCCCTCCCTGCACCCTCCCTGCCGCTCCCTTCACTGTTGAGCACCAGCTGGGAGTGGGGAGAAAGTGTCTGAGGGTCGACTGTCTTTGATGTCCCACAAGGAGGAGCATCTTTTAAAAGGCAGCTGCAATTCTCTCTCCTTGGGTGTTCGGGAGGGTGGCTGTTATCACTCCAGCCATTCTCGAATGCAACCAGTTTCCTTGAGCCCTTTCAGGAGGGGCTGCTTGCCAGTTTGGGAGTTGCTGGAAGAGAGTGTGTGTGATGGAGCAGGGTGGCAGAATGCCATCCCATGGCCCTCGTGCCAGCATTAGTGTCCTGGCTGATGCTCCCTTATGGATGGCTGCCTGACTCAAGCTGGCGAGGGGTTCCACTCCTGCTAGGTGGCCAGTTCCAGGAGGAGGCAGCGTTGGGCATTTTTGCTGTTCTCTGCAGCCCGATCTTCATTTTGGACCCTGGGCTGTCTTGTCTGGAGGCAGAGCCTGCTTTGCTGGCTTCCTCTCTGGCCACGAGGGACGATGTGAATAGGGAGCTTAGCGGAATGGATGCATTTGGCATCCTGCAAAGCGCCCTCTTTTCAGCCCCTGGGGGAGATGCTCTGGAAACCTCAGCTGGTCAGAGGCCCAGAAGCATCCCGGTCCTGCCCATCAGTGGCCCTTCTGGTTTTCAGCCTGTTTCTGAGCCCAGCTCTCCTCTAGCTCTTGGCCCAGTTTCCCAAGGTCTCTGCAGGTGTTTGGCTCAGGCCTCTGCAAGACCCAAATGGCCATTAGCAAGCTGGGAGTCAGGGCCAAAGAGGATCATGAAAGCAAAGGGAGGATTCCTCCATAGCCACTTAAGGTCCTAAGCTGATGGTCGTTTGTCCATGTCAGAAGCCCTGAGGTGCTTCCGATTGAAAGGATTAACCAGTGACATCATGGTTGCCCAGTTGAGGCCTCCTTTCATGTCCCCATTAATGAGGCCACCGAAATGGTACCTATTTGTCTACTCCATTTGCATGCTTTCCTGGGTTGGCAGGAACTGGAGTGAATGACAGGACCTCACTCGGCTGCACAGCAGCACTCGGGTCTCGAACGGGGGCTTGCAGATTGTCAACCCAGCTTTCCAGCCGTATGAGCCACCGCCCTCCTCTTCACTGACAGTCTTTGGTGGAGGGAATGAGACTTCAAGTAGCTGAAAAGGGGGCCTGCCCCTTCAGGGAGCCCCCAGACCTCTTGGTCCCTGATGGGCCTCTGCTTGTTTCAGTGGTGCTTCAACGGAGAGTGTGTGAATGTCGGGTACCGCCCAGAGCCTGTCCATGGGGGCTGGGCAGCCTGGAGTTCCTGGACGGTCTGCTCCCGGACCTGTGGGGCTGGAGTACAGAACGCAGAGCGGCCATGCAACAATCCTGCGTAAGTGACTGGTCCCCTGCCCAAGAGGCAGGTCACAAAGGGAGTCCAGCTGCCCTGTCCAGCTGCCTTTGGCTTCAGTCCCTTGGCCTCTGATGTCCATCTCTCTCTTTGCTTTGAGGGAGCCCCAAATGCATCCTTTGGCAGCAATCATGTGGCGCTGAGTTCCAGGAGCTCATAGGAGCAGAGGCTGGTTCTTCCTGGCATCCGAAGTACATATTTCCACGTGGGGCGCTTGGCACGAGGCTTTTACTAAGCAGTTCTCCCACTTCCCAACCGACGTGGTGTGATTTGCATGCTTCCCATTCCTGCTTCCGTTTCAAAAGAGCCAGTGCAGCTGTTTGGGGCGGCAGAGGTCTTAGGGTCAAGATCTGGGAGGAGACCAGACCATCCTGTGTCCGGTTCTGGTTGCCACCATAAGGAAAGAATGCTGAGGAATTTGGAAGAATGTCGAGAGGGGACCAAGAGGGTGAGGGGCTTGGAGGCTGAGTAAAGGACCTTGGTCTCTTCATCCTGAAGAAGAGGGTGGAGAGGGCAGGCAGGAGGAGATGTCCCAGGGCAGAGCCATTGGGGGTGGTGGTCAGCCATTCGTTTGGGAGGGTAAGAAGAGGCTCCTGCCTTGGGCAGAGGGCTGGGCACTGTAGGATTCCTCTTTGTTCTTTGCCAAGAACCAGGTGCCCCTGAAAGAGTTGGGGAGGTCAAAGGTTGACCTGTGGGGCAATTGCTGGCCTCCGCATGGGACTCTCCCTTCAGCCTCCCCTCTGGCCTTCAACCTTTTCAGGGAAGCGGCACCAGCTGGCTTAACTGGGCAGACTGGTGAGGATGAGTTGGTTTTTCTTTCCAATCCTCAGCCCCAAGTACGGTGGGAAATATTGCCTGGGAGAACGGAAACGCTTCAGGGTCTGCAATGCCCAGCCGTGTCCGGCAGACAAGCCCTCTTTTCGGCAGATCCAGTGCAGCCGTTTTGACCACCGGCCCTACAAAGGGAAGCTTTACAAGTGGAGCCCAGTCCCCAACACCAGTAAGCCTTTCCCAAGCCTCTGTCCAGAGTGGGGGCGCGGGTGAAATACAGGCCTGGAAACGGGGGTAACCGCTGGGAGGGAGCATTTACCAAGCGGCGCCCTATGAGATTTACCGGTTGCCCAGAAGGCTCGTATGGCGGGCATAATCTGTCACTAAGCTCCCCTTTTCAGAAGATGAATGAACACTCCAGGATGGGCTCGCATCCCACATCCCCCGAGTGCTCTGTGACCCCCAGAGGTGGATCAGGAGCCCCATTCCTCTTCTCAGTGCTCCATAATTGGAGATTCTCAAGAAAAGATTGGACAATCATCTGTCTTGGATGGTCCCCTTCCTCAGGCAGGTGGTTGGACTAGAAGGCACCCTAGGAGGCCTCTTCCAGCCTTGTGGTTCTATGATAAGAAAGGTTTTGGTGGGCACCAAAATCCACATCTACTGCCCAGAGGTTGTGCTGGCATCTGTGGGCACCCGGTGGCCTGTAGCCTTGACTGCTTCAGAGCCACATCTGGGAATCTCGGAGTCTTCTTCTCATTAGGGCTTCTGTCCTGCAGCAAGCCATGCAGGTGGGCTTGGGGCAAGAGGTCCTGGGCCCTCAGGCTTTCTCCTCTGGCCTCCGCAGGCAACCCTTGTGAACTGCACTGTCGACCCAACAACGAGTACTTTGCTGAAAAGCTTCGCGATGCTGCCATTGACGGAACCCCCTGCTACGAAGGGAACAGCAGGCGGGACAGGTGCATCAATGGGATCTGTAAGGTAGGCATGTGGGGTTTTTGTCTCCCCGCCCCACTGGTATGTCTAAAACTCCATATTTGAGGGTGGATGGGGCCGTGGGCTTCCATGGCAGACTCCAAGGAAAAGATGAGGCCGTGGTTCTGTTAGCATAGCCTGCTTACTCTTGCTTAACTCAAGAAGGGCTGCCTCGGTTACTCCGGGGGCCCACCTTCTGTCATCCCCTGAGTCCTCTGGGGTTGGTTTCCATGATGCAGTAGCCCAGAGGTGCAAACAAGGCAGCTGGCGGTTGCTGGAGGTGAGCCAAGAAACCAACTGCTGACTTTGCCCCTTCATTGGGTAGCTCTTCCCAAGCAGTCGGGGGTCCGAAATGGAATCCTCTGGGACCCCATTTTGATGTTCCTCAGGCAAGACTAAGCACGGAGGGCTTTTGCATTTTGTCTGTGCAGGTAAAAAAAAGTCCCTGTTAATCATTGGCCAGGAGAGAGTGGATGAGCACCGCTTTGGTCCCCGTAGAGGACCTTTGGCTTTGGGGGTGATTAGTAATTAGTAATTTAGTAATTTAATACATTTATATGCCGCCCAATCCTGTAGGACTCTGGGCGGCTTACAGAAACAAGATAAAAAGTTAAAAAGTTAAAAATAGAAAGATAAACTATTTAAAAACAACACAGCATACATTCCGTCTAGGTGGGGCTGGACCTTGTTCATGAGGTCAACAGCCCCAGGCCTGCCGGAATAGCCAGGTTTTCGTGGCTTTTCGGAAGGCCGAGAGAGTGGGAAGGGTCCGGATCTCTATGGGTAGATCGTTCCACAGGGCCGGAGCAGCTACAGAGAAGGCCCTCCCCCGAGGGGCCGCTAGCCGGTATTGTCCGGTCGACAAGTTATATTTTGTTCAACTCAAATACCCCCCCCCCCCACACACACTGTCTGTGTTGTAATTCTTACAACACTTCACTAGGGGCTTCACGCTGCTATGAGTAGCAAATAAGACTCTATTCTCAGTAAGATGTAGAAGCAAAACCTAGGTGTTGGAGTACACAGACAGACAGACAGACAGACAGACAGACAGAATCGACCTGATAAGATAACCCTGTCTTTCCAAAGAGATCTTGCTTTCCTGTTCCTCCCCTCCTCGTGTCTTTGAACAAGACATAGATGTGAGATGGAAAAAAATCGGTTGAGTAAACTCTTTA